TGGAGGGTACATGGCTATCTGGTGGTAACCTCGGTAGGCATCTAAAAAACTCATTCTTCCGTGCCCCGAAGTAGCATCCACTAGCTAGTCGATTTTGGGCAAAGGAAAGCTGTCTTTGGAGCAGGCTTTGTTGAGGCTGGTAAAGTCTACACAGACCCTCCATTTGCCGTTCTTCTTCTTCACCACTACTGTGTTCGACAGCCATGTTGGGTAGTGAACTTCTCGGATGGCCCTGGCCTCCAGAAGTTTGTCTACCTCTTCTTCTACTACTTCGACGTGCATCAACGTCGGTCTTCTGGCTCGTTGTATCACAGGTTTTGCCGACCTGTCGACATTCAGTCTGTGGCAAGTGACCGCGGGGTCAATGCCAGGCATTTCGTAAGGTGACCAGGCGAACACCTCTATGTTTGTTCTCAAAAAATCCTCCAGTTCTCTTTCCTCTTCTTCGGCTAAGCCTGAGCCGAGAAGAAAGAAACGCTCTTCGTCGCCCTCCTAGACGAGGACTTTCTTTAACGCCTCTTCGCTCTTTTCGGCTGGTTCCTTGCCGACGTCTTCTAGGACCTCTGCGTCCTCATCTTCAATTTCTGCCTTCTTTGGCTCCCGTATGCTGCAAGTAGATTTTATTGCTGCCATGGAGCAATTCTTTGCCTTCAGTTGATCTCCTCTAACTTCTTCAATCCCATGCTCTGTTGGGAACCGCAGTAGTTGATGCAGCGTTGAGGGAACTGCCCCCATTGCGTGCAACCACGGCCTTCCCAAGATGATGTTGTATGGTGAGGGTGTGTCAATTACCAGAAATTCTGTCCTAATTTTCTTCGTGCCGGCTTGGACTTCCAAGCTTGTTGCGCCCAGTGGCCACGTCGGCGTTCCGTTGAAGCCGACCATCGGGCCATTCGATTGCTCCATGTCGTCTGGGTGGAGGCCCAGCTCCTTGTAACATCTAACATACATGATGTCACAAAAGCTGCCTTGATCTATCAGGATGCGTTTCACTTGGCACTCCCCAACCTGGAGGGATACTACCAAGGCATCATTATGCGGATGTTGGACCAACTCCAGATCGGCTTCAGTAAAGGCTATCATTGGTCCTTGGCACTCTTCTGGGCGAGGTCTCTTCTCCCCGACCTGGTAGACGTGTTGTAAATGCCTTACCTTCCGGGTCTCTCCTCTGACTTCGTTCTCGTTGACCCTTGAGTGGATCACATTAACCACCCGTGGTCCTCCTGCCTGTGGTTGCTGTACTGGAGGTGGCGGAGCTGGTGGTGCTTGAGGCAATCTTGCCTGTTCTTCCCTTGTCCTGGCTTCATCGACCAGGTCCCTCAGAAGGCCTTGCCTTACCAAGTCTTCTAAGTGTACTTTTAAGGCTCTGCAACCCTGAGTTGGGTGCCCTTCTTCATTGTGGTAAGCACAATGCCTACTAACGTTTCTTCCCATAAACTCTCCCGGTGCTCTTGCTGGCGCCTTGAAGTAAGGTTGGTTTCGAATTTGATACAGGACTTTATGGATAGGGATTCGGAACACCGTCGTCACCGCCTGTTTATTCCTTAATTCTGTCTCTTGTTTGGTCGCCCCGTTGTTACCTCGGCCTCGCTTTAGCGAGCCGTTTCCCTTCTCCTGCTTTATCTCTTTGTTTCCCGACGTATCTTCCTCGGCTCTGGCGTACTTCTCGACTCTCGCCATGAGTTCTTCCATGCTTTTTGGCAGTGTTTTTGCCAAAGACTTCCGTAGTGGGCAATCATCTTTCAGGCCGCTCTTAAAAGACACGACCGCCACCTCTTGGTTACATTCGGATATTCGATTGAACACCTCGTAGTACCTCTTTGCATAGGCCCTCAGGCCTTCATCCTTGGTGATTCTTAAAGCCATTAGAGCGTCAACCCTCAAGGGTTGTAGTTTGTTCGTTACGAACCTGGCCACAAACATGTCGGCCAGGCCTTCCCAGTTCTTTACGCTTCTTTTTGGCAGTTTGTGAAACCAATCTGACGCAATCTCCCCAAAGGACGAGGGGAACACTTTGCAGAGCAACGGCTCATTTCCACTGTACAATGCCATCGAGTTCAAGAATAATCCAACGTGGAAGTTAGGATCTGACTTACCATCGTATATTTGAAACCTCGGCATACTGAATCTCTTTGGCGCCTCAAATTTGTCCAGTTCTACCGAGAACGGTGTCTTCGGTTTGTCGGGTGAAGTAACCTCGGCTTCTCCGTTCTGTTGCTTCCTCTTGAGGTAGTTTCTCAAGTCTTCTTTGCTTCGTCCAGGAGCTCGGCTATCTACCGACTTTAGTTTCTTCGGTATACTACTCTCGGCCTCGTGGCGGGCCCTTTTCGATCTTTCTCCATGGGTTGTGTCAAAGCAGAGTGCTTGCCTCTGAACATGCCGATACTCTTTGGGCTCTGGATCCTTTATGTGATGCGTCCTTTGGGACTCTTCTTGCCTCGGCTCCTCTCGTCCGACTTCCCTGGAAGGTCGGTGAGAGTGCCTTCCGCTCCTGGTGTGCTGAGGGACTTCGGGGATTGTTTTCCTTCCTCCCTTCTGGGTATTAATTGTTGGCATCGGCGTATCTTGCAGCGGGTATGGTGGCTGCATAACATTGTTCTGCATCATGAAATTGACGACTGACTGTAGGTCTGCCAGCTTGTTTGCCAACTCCTTTATTTCCTCATCCCTCCGTAGGCACCGATCCCTCCACACCTGGAGGTCATCTTCATTGTAGTATTTGTTGTGGTCTGTCCTCTTTGAAGTGTCGCCCTCCTGGCCGACGTCCTTCTCTCTGTGACCCTGGTCACGGGTTTCAGCATTGTGGTTGTCTCCTTCGATGTCAAGGTCAATTGGTCTGCCACTCCCAGTAGGAGCGTTGTCCCTTATCTTCTCCCTCTGTCCGTCACTAGCCATCTATTCGTCTATCTTTCCCACAGACAGCGCCAAATTGTGTGAGTAAAAATCTGACCACACTACCCGCTTAGTAATCAACTGGAGAGCACTGGCAGAATAGATGGCTTCAGCTAACCTGTAACAGAAAGAAAAGGCTCCGGCGGTGGTTCTTGCACCCGGGGGCACTCCGACGATCAAGTCAGTATATCTCTCAAAGATAATCAAGTACTAAACTTAATACTCAAAACATAAATTGCGTACCTTAGACCTACGGGGTGCCTCTCTTTTATAGTTTTCTCAATCCTAATCCCACTAGAAGCCTGACTTCTATGGATTCCAATTCTGTGCTTACTTTGGACTCCTCAAAAGATAAAGATAAACTCCCTAAGAGTTTTATCCTTATCTTGGCTAAGTCTCCTCTTTGTCCTAGGACTCTTGTCCTCCATCCGATTATCTCGGATTCTGATATCTTCGGAGATAACCTCGGCTACTCCGGGATCACCTCGGCGTAACTACCACGACACGTGGCACCTCGGCTGACACGTCGGCGTCACCATGCCACATGTTGGTACTCAGAAAATATATCCCCACAAGATGTAAAGTGTAAATTCTTTCAGTTGCACTTTCAACTCATCTCCATGTCATATAAAAAGGACAATTTTTAAAATTGTGAACCTTACTTTTACTGATTCCGTTAATTATAATTGATTGAAACAAAAAATTACGCTATGATCCTAAACTACGGAATACCTTTTTCCTGTAGTAAGGAAACATCAATCTTCTTCGCATAAAAATAGATACATCATTATATGATTGATCAAACTTTCTAATTAACTTCTCTTTTATTCTAGCCCTAATTTAAACAACTTATGTTTTCTAATAATTGAGATCCATTCCAAAGTTTGTTGTCCTAGGAAAATTTGTTCAAATTTGAAAATAAAATTAATGACTCATTTCATGATGATGGAAAGGCTATGTGAGTGTGTTGAACAAATGAGTAAAATCGACCTAAAGTGAAATGTGTTTTGCTTTTCTCCTCTCTTTTTTTCCATGCCATAATGGAGTGAAGTTGGTGTTGGTCCAACACAGCAAAATTTTTCTCCCCCTTTTTAGCATCAAAGTTTGGCGTTTGGATCCATCACAACCACCTGATGTGTTTACTTCAAGCAAAACCCAACTCCATACTCCAAAACAAATCATCATCACTTTTCCCATCTGGACTTACTTGATAAAACCATGACTTGTTTAATATTAAAGGAAAAATTATATTTTAGATGGACAGTGAAAAATAATGGATTATTTAGACATTTATAAATTTTGACTATCACAGTTATAAAATTATATCACTTTCACTTTCAATCGATCCTATTTAAACCACTTCCAAAATAAAAATATTTATACAATTTTCACAATTAATGGAGTAAATATATATGGCATCATAGATGATGTGATAAAATGATATTAGTTAATTGTTGAAGGGATCATAATCTAATTAAACTAAAAACAATCCCAATTTCATGGGTCTTAAGTTGCTCATGTATATAGTGTAAATCATTTTCCATATTTAATACAAGTCTTAAAAAAAATATTATATCTGTCATTATATACTAAAATGCTATTTTTCCAATACAACAGTGCTATATACCCCCAGTGGGGGTCGCGCCCCCAGTGACGTGGCGCGCCTCCACTGGCTGAAAACTTTAAAAAAAAAAAAAAAAAAAAAAAAAAACAGTTTTTTTTTTCCGACCAATCCGGGGCCGACACCTCACTGGGGGTCGACCCCCCGTGGGGGTATGAAGCATAAATCTTTTCCAATATTGAAGTCCATAAATTTATATTGTTTACCCAACAATTTTTATTTTTATTTTTTGTTTTTTTTTTTTGGATACATCGGAAAATATTTACCCAACAATCAAATATTGCTATTTATTAGAGCATTTTGAATTACATTTATATCATTTTCTATCATATAACATAAATGAAAAAACAGCTAACCTTCAACAAATATTATCATTGATATATACATATATATATATATATTATATGTTCATATTTATGATGAATTTCACCAATTTGGTTGGCAAGCTTATTTGCAATTTGCAATTCCTACAATTAAATAGTCAATAAATCAAGAAATTTACAAAATATTACCAAAAAAAAACATATCTTGATACTCAACTCGGTCCAACTCCAACTCGGGATGACTCGGTTAAATTACCACCCATATTTGCCATCTCCAGAGCTAAAAATAAAAACATTGAGTTATCACTCACCACCCAAGAAAAATAAAAATAATAGAATAAAAAAAACCCACTAAAATTCACTCAAAAATTAGTTAAATAGAGCGAGTTGACTCATCTTGACTCGCTCCATATGGACAAACCAGAGAATTGCTTTTAACAGACTGATTTATCAGCAAACCCACGAAGCAACGGCCGAGATTCACCCAAAATATCAAGATTACTTCTATGACCCACGTGGCAGCATCTCTGGAAGTCCTCGAGATTGAGGAACCGAGCCGAGTTACAGGACTCGGATCGGGACACGACTCGGAGGATCTCTTCGAAGACCGACTCGTCGCAGGGTAGGACCAAGGGTCCTTGGTTTGTGAACCCGTACTCTTCCTCGGCTTGAGCCAAGAGTCTCTTGAAGATGGGGTGGTTCAGGTACGTCGCGCGAACTACGAACCTCCTACACTCTCTCCCCACGCAGATCGCCACGTGCCCCGCCGGTACGTCGGACGGAACTCCGCCGGCGGCGATGCGCGCCTTGTTGCGCCACCGCCGGAGCATCTGCCGGATTCTGACAATGTGTCTGATTTTATTTGATTTTCCAATCGCCGGTGGCATTTCCGTCAATTACAAAAATATATGTATGTATATGTAAAATGTATCTCTATAGCTATCGAGAGAGAGAGAGAGAGAGAGAGAGAGAGGGGGGTGGGGGGAGTGAGAGAGTGTTGGATTGGAACTCTTGTGTTTGAATTTGTTGATAGGCAATAGGAGCGTAGATTAGAGTAGTTTTTATAAGGTGATTATATGACCAAAATGCCCTTGAGTGGAGATTTTTGCAAGATTATCTGTTTGTGAAAATAATTAGGTTGTATGAAATACCTTATGTCATTGGGCCTATTCATGCAAATTCTTATAAGTGAAAGTCGATAATTAAAAAACAAAAATAAAAAAGTATTAACAGTTCATTTAAGTTGCACTAAACAGCTCTTAAAGCTCTCATTTAAAAAAAAAAATTAAAAATTGTTAACAGTGCTCGGGCATTTGTTAAAATATTTAAAATATTTGTATAATTTTAAAACTTTGTTAATTAATATTCTTAAAATACTCGTTAACGAAATCCTAATAAAAAATTAATGAATTATTTTTTATTTTCTAATTACTTAATAAAAGCAAGTTAGTATTTTCTTACCAATAAAAAAATTTCATTGCATCATTAATTAAGAGTACTCATAAACAATATTACATAATATTTCAAAATTAATATTATAATAACATGTTGTTTGTGATGTGGTCAAGGCCATGTGATGGGAGACCAGAAGGATCATTTGCAAACAGGTAGTTAGTTCACTAATCATCTTCAGTTGCTCATTAAGTGGAAACAGTAACATAACTTAGCTGTGTTTGGCAAGTGGGTTTGCAGGTTTTTTTGGCTATTTTAACCACAAAAAACAAAATAGGCTATTTTAGCCATAACAAACAAAACATCACATCCAACCCATAATCATTACATTCTTCTCTCACAAAAAAATTCAAAAAAGTCAAAAAGCCAAAAAGCCCTTCCCAAACTAAGCTTTTAAGCCCAGGCTAAAATAGCCAAAAAAATCAAAAAGTCAAAAAGCCAACCCACTTCCCAAACGGAGGCTTAGGAACTAAAATTATGTTCATATTCAGGCACCAAATGGGGAATGCCCATGAAATTTATGCAATAATATAACTATATGTTCTTGTTTATTTTATAGGAGTTGAAAATTCTCAATAATGGCATTCATTTATTCTTGTAATTTAAACATAATAAATTTTAATATCTTTGACTAGAACTTCAAACTTGTATGTGAATCTTATTCCCTTTGAATTGGTTTGAATTTCTCTCCCACTTTGTAAATATTCTTTTTTATTCAAACATAATAAGTAAACAGATGAAATTAAGCTTCTAAGCTGAAATATTGATTATGCTCAACATGACATTCTAGAAAAATGTTTATGCCCAAATAAAAATTTATTATAGGAGTTGAAAATTCTCAATAATGGCATTCATTTATTCTTGTAATTTAAACATAATAAATTTTAATATCTTTGACCAGAACTTCAAGCTTGTATGTGAATCTTAGCCTCTGTTTGGCAAGTTAATTTTCAAGTTTTTTTGGCTATTTTAGCCACAAAAAACAAAATAGGATATTTTAGCCATAACAAACAAAACATTACATCCAACCTATGATCATTACATTCTTTTTTCACAAAAAAAAGTCAAAAAAGCCAAAAAGCCAAAAAGTCCTTCTCAAACCAAGCTTTTTAGCCCAGACTAAAATAGCCAAAAAAACCAAAAAGCCAAAAAGCCAACCTACTTCTTATTCCCTTTGAATTGGTTTGAATTTCTCTCCCACTTTGTAAATATTCTTTTTTATTCCAACATAATAAGTAAACAGATGAAATTAAGCTTCTAAGCTGAAATATTGATTATGCTCAACATGACATTCTAGAAAAATGTTTATGCCCAAATAAAAATTTAAAGATGAAAAGACAAAACTTAATTTGATGCTTTTTTTCTTTTTTTTCTTTGGGTTCCTATTCCCATGATCTCAATGTCGCCCAATATCTTTCCAACACAGTAATCTCATTAAAATATCTTATACTTGAGATTTAGAGAATATATGATGGGGCCTGCTTATCAAGGCAATTATGTAGGGTTAATTTAGATCTAAACTGTGTTTTTGAAGAGAGACAGATGTAGAACTAGGGTCAGAGTCAACTGAGAATTTTTGGAAACTCATTAACTCAAAGATCTCATTTTATTCATTCATTCAGTAGTTGTAACAATGAAGACTTCCACAGGGAATAAGGGTTTAAGCTCTTTCTTTCTCATCCTACTCACAGATAAAAATGAGGATTTTTTACCAGCTGTCCTAATAATTGAATCTATTATCCATTAAATCCTAAGTTTCTATCTCATGCACCAAGAAGTCCTATTATATTTTTTTATCCCGATTTTGCCTCTGTTGTTATACTGCCAGAGCCATTGATGAATTAGTGGGGTTGGTGAACATGAGAACTGCCAGAGCCATTGATGAATTCATTGGTGTTGGTGAACATAAGAACTGCCTCTGTGACCCTTGGATTTGAGAGAGATGGTGTTATTGTTAGATAATGTCTCAATGGGACCACATAATTAAATGTGGTGTTATCATTTATAAGAAGCCTACAATTTAAGTGATTCAATTTAGTTAATAGGCTTAAGGGTATATGTGTTATGGACCTAATGTGTAGATACTAGTTGTATAATTTCTATTTCTATGAGGGGCAGAAATAGAAATTAAAACATATTGGTTAAAGTTGGTTTTCATTCCTTTTGAACTTCCACAACCTTTCAGTTTTGAAAACCAATTACAACCTTTAAAAGGTTATGGTCCCTATTCCTTCCTAAGTGGAAATAAGTACACTGCCATTTTTCTTTCTAAATCCTCTCAAGGAGAAACATAAGGCACTAAAAGGGAAAGGATTAGAAGGCAATAACATAATCAATAACAAAGAGTTCATTGATAATCACTCTTCCGTTTTACCGTTCACCAATGGATTCAGGTATGTCATTTTGTCTTGATTTCTTGATAATACACATGGTAAATGATCCAAAGCGTAAGGTTTATGTTCTGAAATTTATGTTAACAATTGGTATCGACTTTCGACATTCCATTTTCTACCTCATGTTCCTGGAGATATACAAATAATCATCTGAAAATGTAAATCTCCTTTCTCTGGTGGATCGCCTTAATGGCACAGATTCTTGAGGTTGAGGTTGTAGAGTTTGTTCCTCAGGAACAATTACCTCATCTTGAATGGGGGTTTGAACTATATTATCTTGAACAACATTGTCTGGTTAAGGATCCGAAATTACTTCTCGAGCAATGACAGGTATAGGAACCTGTGATTGGTCAAAAGTAGTAGTAGGAAGTGGGATTACTCCTGCTTCCTCCTCAAAGACAATGTCTCTAACTGGATTTCTCCCCCCAAACTCAACATCCCAAAAAAAAAACTATTTGTTTTTTTGGACCCGTCAATTCTATTTATATATGTATATATATAATTGGGATTGCTGCAGATTATAAAACATATACGGGGTCACAAATTTAGAAATCTTTAAATTTAATGTAATTTCGTACAACGTCTACAGAAATTTAATTTTCTAACATTCTCAATATAAGTCAATTCAAACAAAATGTCACAAAAGTGATCTCTCTTGTCTAAATTGTTTTATATGGAATGTTTTGAAGTTCATGTCTGTGTATCTCATGCGGGTATTTATCGGTCCAAAGACATGATTAAGACTTGGCAGAATTACACACACATTTTGTGGTGAAAAACATGTGCCAATTGTCAAGAAAACCTAATGTGAATAAAAAACAAACCACCTAGGGCTAAAAACCTCTTTTGGGTTAGGTTTTTTTAACTTTTTTAATTTTTGTAAAAAAAAAAATAATTATTATAATTTGGATATAACATTTTGTCTTATTAATTTTTTGGCTTATTTTATTTATTTATTTATTTCTAGAACTTCAAACTTGTATGTGAATCTTATTCCCTTTGAATTGGTTTGAATTTCTCTCCCACTTTGTAAATATTCTTTTTTATTCCAACATAATAAGTAAACAGATGAAATTAAGCTTCTAAGCTGAAATATTGATTATGCTCAACATGACATTCTAGAAAAATGTTTATGCCCAAATAAAAATTTAAAGATGAAAAGATAAAACTTAATTTGATGCTTTTTTTCTTTTTTTTCTTTGGGTTCCTATTCCCATGATCTCAATGTCACCCAATATCTTTCCAACACAGTAATCTCATTAAAATATCTTATACTTGAGATTTAGAGAATATATGATGGGGCCTGCTTATCAAGGCAATTATGTAGGGTTAATTTAGATCTAAACTGTGTTTTTGAAGAGAGACAGATGTAGAACTAGGGTCAGAGTCAACTGAGAATTTTTGGAAACTCATTAACTCAAAGATCTCATTTTATTCATTCATTCAGTAGTTGTAACAATGAAGACTTCCACAGGGAATAAGGGTTTAAGCTCTTTCTTTCTCATCCTACTCACAGATAAAAATAAGGATTTTTTACCAGCTGTCCTAATAATTGAATCTATTATCCATTAAATTCTAAGTTTCTATCTCATGCACCAAGAAGTCCTATTATATTTTTTTATCCCGATTTTGCCTCTGTTGTTATACTGCCAGAGCCATTGATGAATTAGTGGGGTTGGTGAACATGAGAACTGCCAGAGCCATTGATGAATTCATTGGTGTTGGTGAACATAAGAACTGCCTCTGTGACCCTTGGATTTGAGAGAGATGGTGTTATTGTTAGATAATGTCTCAATGGGACCACATAATTAAATGTGGTGTTATCATTTATAAGAAGCCTACAATTTAAGTGATTCAATTTAGTTAATAGGCTTAAGGGTATATGTGTTATGGACCTAATGTGTAGATACTAGTTGTATAATTTCTATTTCTATGAGGGGCAGAAATAGAAATTAAAACATATTGGTTAAAGTTGGTTTTCATTCCTTTTGAACTTCCACAACCTTTCAGTTTTGAAAACCAATAAATAGAAATTAAAACCAATAATGGTTAAAGTTGGTTTTCATTCCTTTTGAACTTCCACAACCTTTCAGTTTTGAAAACCAATTACAACCTTTAAAAGGTTAGGGTCCCTATTCCTTCCCAAGTAGAAATAAGAACACTGCAATTTTTCTTTCTAAATCCTCTCAAGGAGAAACATAAGGCACCAAAAGGAAAAGGATTAGAAGGCAATAACATAATCAATAACAAAGAGTTCATTGATAATCACGCTTCCGTTTAACCGTTCATCAATGGATTCAGGTATGTCATTTTGTCTTGATTTCTTGATAATACACATGGTAAATGATCCAAAGTGTAAGGTTTATGTTCTGAAATTTATGTTAACAATTGGTATCAACTTTCGACATTCCATTTTCTACCTCATGTTCCTAGAGATATACAATATAATCATCTGAAAATGCAAATCTCCTTTCTCTGGTGGATCGCCTTAATGGCACAGATTCTTGAGGTTGAGGTTGTAGAGTTTGTTCCTCAGGAACAATTACCTCATCTTGAATGGGGGTTTGAACTATATTATTTTGAACAACATTGTCTGGTTAAGGATCCGAAATTACTTCTCGAGCAATGACAGGTATAGGAACCTGTGATTGGTCAAAAGTAGTAGTAGGAAGTGGGATTACTCCTGCATCCTCCTCAAAGACAATGTCTCTAACTGGATTTCTCCCCCCAAATTCAAGTAGTAGGAAGTGGGATTACTCCTGCTTCCTCCTCAAAGACAATGTCTCTAACTGGATTTCTCCCCCCCAAACTCAACATCCTAAAAAAATGTTGCAATTCCCGTCTCAAATATTGACCTATTTGTGGGATCATAAAACTTGTAACCCCGCAATCGTTCGGCATAGCCAATAAAGTAGCTGCTAATGGTTTTAGAGTCCAATTTTCGTTCATGAGGTTTATAAGGCCTCGCCTCAGCAGGACACCCCCACACATGCAAATGTTTTAGACTAGGCTTTCGCCTAACCCAAAGCTCATAAGGTGTTTTTACAACTGCTGTAGTTGGCACCCGATTTAAGATATAAGTTGCTGTCTTTAGAGCCTCACCCCAGAGGGACTCTGGTAAAGTAGAATGACTGATCATACTTCTTACCATATCCTTAAGAATCCGGTTTCGTCTCTCAGATGCACCATTCATGCTAGGTGATCCTGACATGGTGTATTGTGGGACGATTCCACATTCCTCCAGGTATTTTGCAAACGGTCTTGGATGTTGTTCACCTGATCCATCATATCTGCCATAGTATTTACCACCACGGTCAGACCTGACACTTTTAATTCGTTTGTTGAGTTGTAACTCAACTTCGGCCTTAAATCTTTTGAATACGTCCAAAGACTGTGATTTAACAAATCTATCTTTTGATGGATTTATTTTTCACATTAGGTTTTCTTGACAATTGGCACATGTTTATCACCACAAAATGTGTGTGTAATTCTGCCAAGTCTTAATCATGTCTTTGGACCGATAAATACCCGCATGAGATACACAGACATGAACTTCAAATCATTCCATATAAAACAATCTAGACAAGAGAGATCACTTTTGTGACATCTTGTTTGAATTGACATATATTGAGAATGTTAGAAAATTAAATTTCTGTAGACGTTGTATGAAATTACATTAAATTTAAAGATTTCTAAATTTGTGACCCCGTATATGTTATATAATTTGCAGCAATTCCAATTATATATATACATATATAAATAGAATTGACGGGTCCAAAAAATAAATAGTTTTTTTTTTTTATGATGTTCAAAATTAAACCGATCAAATCGCAAGATGTATCTATATATATATAAATACATGATGTCCATTCATTTGAGAGAAAAAAAAACTGCCCACCGAATCATTTTACAATTTCAGAAAACAGATTGCCATTTTCACAGAACAAAACAGGAAAAAACAAAATTTACATCCATAAGAAAATTCAGAATCTGATTCCAGGAAACTAAATAGAATGAATAAAGCATATCAATTCTGATAAGACACATGATATGCATGCTCTGATACCAATTGTTAACATAAATTTCAGAACATAAACCTTACACTTTGGATCATTTACCATGTGTATTATCAAGAAATCAAGACAAAATGACATACCTGAATCCACTGATGAACAGTTAAACGGAAGCGTGATTATCAATGAACTCTTTGTTATTGATTATGTTATTGCCTTCTAATCCTTTCCCCTTTGGTGCCTTATGTTTCTCCTTGAGAGGATTTAGGAAAAAATGGCAGTGTTCTTATTTTCCACCTATGAAGAAATAGGGACCATAACCTTTTAAATGTTGTAATTGGTTTTCAAAACTGAAAGGTTGTCTGAAATTTATGTTGATCCAAAGTGTAAGGTTTATATTCTGAAATTTATGTTGATCCAAAGTGTAAGGTTTATGTTCTGAAATTTATGTTGATCCAAAGTGTAAGGTTTATATTCTGAAATTTATGTTGATCCAAAGTGTAAGGTTTATGTTCTGAAATTTATGTTGATCCAAAGTGTAAGGTTTATATTCTGAAATTTATGTTGATCCAAAGTGTAAGGTTTATGTTCTGAAATTTATGTTAACAGTTAGATCTTAAAGAGATCAAGAAAATCGACATGAATAGAGATGGGGTGTGTCAATATTGACGAGTTCCAGAGCCATTGATGAATTCGTTGATAATGGTAAATATGAGAACTGTCTCTGTGGCCCTTGAATTTGAGAGAGATGATGTTAGATCTGAGAGAGATCAAGAAAATCGACATGAACAGAGATGGGTGTGTTGACATTGACAAGTTCGGAGCTCTGTATTATTTAAACCAGTGATAAATTTGTTTAAACCAGTGACAAATCAATGATAAATTTGTTTAAATCAGTGATAAATTTATCACTGATAAATTTGTTAAAAAATTTACAAATAGCAGACTTGATTTGAGAGAGAGAGGGGGGGCATCACAACAAATTTATCACTGAATTAAGTAACAAATTTATCATTCATAAATTAAGTAATAAATTTATCACTAAATTAAGTAACAAATTTATCAGATCAGTTACACGTCTGTAAAAGATCAACAACACCTTTCAATGCACTGATTGGACACTTTGCATCCCAAACCGGTGATGGAGGAATATGGTAGCAACAACAATGTCAAAGATAGTAGATTAGTGATGGAGGAAGATGGTGGCAACAATAATGTCGAAGATGGTAAATCGATGATGGAAGATTACGATGCTAAAGCTAGCAAATGAATGATGGGAGAGGAGCAATAGTGACAGCAATGACCGAGAAGGAGATGATGATTGGTAATGGAGGAGGAGAAAATGGTGTGCCAATGACAAAAATAAGAGAGAGAGAGAGAGAGAGAGAGAGAGATGTATTTGGATTTAGGGTAAAATCAATCAACTAAATGTAAAGGGTAAAAATAGAAGATGGACTAAATTATTTTGGATCAGGACTTTCTAAGAATTAAGTCCGGTCTAAAGAACCGGCCCGTAACTCCCCCTAAAAATAACTCTACTAATGTAGTCAAACATCCCTGGATTCTTGATGGGAATTTGGAGCCCAACAAAGCTGAGAATTTGACCCAAGTAAAAAGGCCCAAAATATAACCGTAGACTGTCCAGAGAAAAGCTATATGCCAAAATCAAAATGCCCCGAGGCAGGAAAAGAATATTCTGAAACCATCCATCATCATCATCCATTGTGAATTCAAGCCGAAGTGATGATGCATTTGCTCTGAATTGAAACAGGAGAAATGCATTAACTCAATCAGAGAGGTGAGTGACTGATTGGTAAGAAATGGAAGAGATTCATAAGGAAAGTCAAAAAAGAGTAAAATGCAGCCAAACTTTCAATCACAAGTAGCATCATTTGAATTCCAACAGCATGCACAGATCAAGAAGACAACTGAATCCAAACCTAAAAAAATTGGAACGACCTCATGAAATGAGATATATAATTCTCCAAAAAAAAAGTTGCAGAGCTACAAGTAGAGAACCATGGTCCACAAATACTTTAGGCCAATATTAAACACTGGTATAGTTATATCATCATGCATTATTTTTTATCAGAAACCAAAAAAACAGAGCATCTCTCCTTCAGTGATGTGCCATTGCCTTTGCTTCGGCCTTCTTATGAGATTTAGCCTTTGCCTGAGAAAATAAAACAAAACTGAAGTAAATATTTGCAGATGATGTCTATGCGGTGTATGTGAGATACACTGTCACCAGCGTGCATTCACAAACAGAATAAAACAAAGTAACCTACTCAAAAAGAGAAAAATAAAGCCTCGAGGATTGTCTACAGGTAAAACCCAATGATTTCTATCCGCACAATCAAAGAGAGCAAAATGATAAGCATTATGTACTTCTACTAAACAATTCATGTTGGCATGGATTCCTTTCTCTAGTATGTCAAACCATCTGATGAAGTATAAGCAAACCCAATACATTTCTTCTTGCAATAAATTTATGTGAAATGGCCAAAGCGATATGTACTACTCACTCCAGCAACGAACATGGCCCTGGACAGCCCAGAGAAAGTTAAAAAATAGCTTCTACAGAGCATTTCCAAAAGCTTGGCATCTCAAGTGCAATGTGCATGAATTTGCACAACAGAACCACTATAGTTTGCAATGAGGCCACTATGGTTTTACTTTCTATGATTTTACAACATTAAGTAGTTCCAATTAGTCAATTTCCATAAAGCACCTTCGAAATCATAGAAAGTTAAACCAAACTAAGCCTAAAGGAGTGTTTGGTTACGAAATGACTGTTTACATATATATGTACAAAAAGAGGAAGGTTGGATGGATAGAAAAAAAGGGGAGGTGAAACAGATAGAGATAGAAGATAATTCAGAGAATCTATGCTCAAGACTCAGGAGCTTGAGAAGGATGGGCCCAACAATGGCAACTCTCACCTTATGACTAAAATCTAATCTCCTAGTTATATCAAAAGCATATATAAAGGCTTCTTTAAAAGCTTGGAATTCATCTAACTTGTATATTGGAAAGAAGATCAATATGATGATGAATTGAGAGTGGTCTTACATTCTAAGCCATGTAAGGTGGGAAGTGAATGAATGTGTAAATAGATTGGCTACGATGCGGTAACAAATCTCAAAGTTCCACATGTAATATGTTCCCCCTCAGTCTGTTAAGCCCCTTTTTCACCTGGTATGCCTCTGGGTGGGGGGCTAGTTAAAAGGGTAATGCTTTAGTGTTTTTCCTTCTTGGGTCTTTGGATGTCATATGTACCCCAAAAAATAGACAAAGATAACCAATTATGAACCATGAGTGAGAGAATTTCACTATTCTACCCAATTTCACCTAAACTAATTATAGACCTCAAGCAGATTGGTGCAACTAAGTCATAATCTTATGGCAAACAATCAAAAGGCAAACCCTTCCTTCAAGCTTCATTGCATTCCGGTATGGCTCAACTTCTTGTGGATATGTTTGGTCATATAAACTCATTACTTCCCTTGGGTTATAACTCATGCGTAAACAAAAACACTTGTATAACAAATACAATACAGGCCATGTCACATTCAGAACTCTTCACTGTCTCTGCTTAGTGCTTGGAGAGCACCGGCGGACGAATGATGGTTGATCTTGCCATTTAACTCCATCATGGGAGGTGAGGAAAGGAAAAATGAGTTGCCACCATTTAGTGGGGGTGATTCAGGATAGCAAATGGTTCAACAACACTCAGTTGCTTAAGATCAATCCAATTTACTCAATCTTTTCTCATCACTTTCAGGGTTGGATTTTGGACTTAAGAATCAAATTTCTCAAGAACTATGGGGGTCATGACTAGTGTAACTGTGTAAGTTCTTTCATTCATCAATAGGGCCCTGGTCGGTCACTTTTCTAGGCCAGGATCAATAAGTGGAAGTCAAAAAATAAACAAGAGATCTTTATGTGACCATAGACACTAGGAACATGAATCGAATTCACACCAAGAACCAAAATACATGAATTTAACGCAATAATGATTCAAATCACGACAATTACTACTCAAACATACACATAATGGGGAAAACAAAATAAAATGAAATATCCCTTCTAAATCAACCCACAACATGGTATAATTTGGACTTACTGTAACACTACATGTAACAACCAACACAAAAACATAAATCCTACCCAATAAAGATTATAGCTAAGCAAGTTTGATTTGGAACAAAACATGACCCAAATCAGAACACCACAACACTAGACAAAATAATTGACCATTATGGACTAAACCCACATACAAGCACACCTACCATAGTATAAGCAATTCAAAAAGAACAAACCAACATATAATACAGATGTATATATATATACACATTAAAAAATGAAAGCTTGCACATGAGAAAGATAGTTTCAAAAAATTTAAAAAGAGTACCTTGAGATACTTGAGCTTCATGCTTCCGTAAACAAGTCCCATAGAGAATGCAGAAACACGAGCCACCTACATCCACACCGAATTGAAGACAAATACTTCAACAATTTCCCAAATCGCAACACATACATACACACACATATATATATATATAGAGAGAGAGAGAGAGAGGGTTACCAAGGCAAGGGTGCTGGTTCCGGAATAAGGACCAGGAGGTGGAGCCATTTGGAGTCTCTTTCTTCGATTAAGGTGGGTTTGTGCGTGTTGGTGTGAGGAAGAAGAAGAAGATCTACCTATATCAGCCCTAGAAGTTGTGATTGTGTAGGGTCGAGTTCATGAGATTAATTACAGACTTCTATCCTGTTTGTCCACTTTAGGCCATCTGGAAAGTCTATTTTATCCTATTCGTCCATTTTTCAAAATTGAATTTTTTGGTGCAATATAAACAATCAAATGGAGACCTTTTTTTTTTTTTTTAAACACTAATTGGAATAATCATTATGGATCCTATTAATCATCTCAATCGGTGTTAATTAAAATTTCAAAAAATAAGAGTTAAAAATCAAATAAAATTTAAATTTAAATTAAATAATTACACAAATAATAGAAGTGTGATGCCCCCAAAGTAAATTGAACAATATGAACAAAAGAAAATTATAAGATTAATTACACAAATGTCTCCAAATTAATTATAAAATAGTTTTATACTTTAATTTTTAAAGTATGCAATCTATTACACGAGAATTCTTAATATTAGTATATTTTAAAATTAATATCAGAACAGATAATATTTTCGAAATTTTATGAGAAAAAATACAAAATAAAGTATTAGTGAAGAAAAACTCAAGAAAGTGCATACTTTGAAAATTAAAATAAATTAAATACTTATTTTAATAATTAAAATACTTATTTTTTTAAATCATATGCATTTGATAATTTTAATTTTACTAGACTTTTAAGTAAAGTTTAAAAAATAGGAGTACTTACGTGTAGGTCCTAATAAGCGGATTTTTTGTCTAATAGATCCTATGAAAAAAATTTGTTAGGGAAAAACGTCACTAATTGTAAGTTTTAGCGACAATTTATAAAAATCATGACCCAAAAAAGTCACTAATTGTCAATTTTTAGGGACATATAAAAAATTGTCACAAAAAAATTATTTTTAGTGACAATTTTATCAAGACTTATTTTTAATAGGACTTGATAGGAATTAAGTCTAACTATTAGGACCTATTGGTAGTTTACCTTAAAAAATACTACCCTTTATTTGTTACTGATTTTGAACTATGATAACATCACAAAAAGAGAGCGAGGGAATCAGAACATCGTCTATAGACTATATATATATATAACCGAAGCTCTGAATTAATTGGTTTTGATTTCTGGATTAAGTGAGATTTGTGCTTGAACATTCATTGTGTGATCTTATATGTAGAGTGAATTTATGAATGTTGATTGCTTTAGCCGTTTTAGGGATGTAAATTCTTCATTGCTGGGGTTTTAGAGCGATCTATTGGAGACTAACTATGTGATCTAAATTCTCTCTTGATTTTGATTAAGATTTGAACATTCACTATGTGATTTTTATATAATAATGTGTGAATTAATGAATGTTGATTGCTACAGCTGTTGGTGGTTGACTTGTTATAGTTGTGAGAGCTGGAAAAAAATATATATCAATTTATCATGACTAAGGCAAACAAGGCCTAACAATGGGCCCAACCCAAACAAGCAAACCCATCAAACAAATATCACATCCCATCTATATAAATGGAGGGCATCCCAAGGAGTAAGGTATGCCTCATCTCTCTCTGCCATATAGCACACAAATATTCTTCATTTTCTTCATCTTCTTTCTCTGAATCCAAGGACTAATTTTATCATCGGAGAGTCTCTAGCCGACAACCCTAGTTGGGTGGTGCCAACTATGTTCATTTTTGCAGATTTACAGGGGCAAAACTTATCTCTTTGTTGGATCTCTACAATCCACGTGAGAGGATTTTCCTGATCTCACAATAACATCTCAAATCCCTACTGTATTTTTTCATCATATTTGAGTGAAACTTTTAGTTAAAACCTTGATCTGATATAGCTCACTCTTCAATTTTTATTCTTTTTAAAATTTTATTAAATTTGAGTAAAAATATCACTATTGGGAATTTGGTTTGGTGGGGAAAAAAATGCCTCTTTCTTGATTAGATGCAAATTTGCTTTAAAAAAATGACTTTTAGCCATTTTTTTTGTCAATTTCATAAAATTTGAATTTGATGAAAGATTGAGGATACTTGTATTGATTTGGGTTTAGAGATGTGGATTCCTCATTGCCAGGGTTTTAGATTGCTTTGTTGGAGAGTAACTCTTGATTTTTTATTTTGGTTTTCTGTTAGTTACTAAGAGCCCGATGGTATAGATTTCAAGGGTTAAGAACGAATCTATCTTCCCATGATTGTAAACTGTAAAGAATTTAATTGGGACAAAAGCAGGCTTTCTGAGTTGATTGAAGTATGTCCTCCCCTTAAAATGTGGATATTCATGAGGAATGAGCATGACCTGTTTGTATTGTTTGCATATGGGTTCACGCTATTCTTGACTTAAGAGTTTGATGACAAGATAACCACTGCTGAATAATTTTGTTGCAATTTCAGTCTTTCATCTCTTGCAATATCACAAAGTAAATTTTCTTCTACTTGAAGATTGCCAATTTTCACAAAGTGACAAATGCCTTATGTATTTGGGCATCATAATGTTTGCTACGGTCCAATGCATATAATATAATTGTCAATCACCCAAATATTTTTATGTGATAATGTGTTATCGAACGGGTGGTCAGGAAATTGTATCTGTATTGTGTGGATGCTATCCATGTTAATTGTTTCATAGGGTAGATGTACAAAAAAATGAAAGTGCACAATCACCCTAGTAAACACCATACATTGGTATCTCGATAACATCTAGTTAGACTATTCTTGTTTGCTTGTTGTGGATGGTTCACTATGCAAGTTGGAATGAATTGTTGTCTTCAAGCTTGAGGTAAAAGACATTGTTGTTGGGTCAATGCTCAACCCCTACAAGGTATTAGCATAAAGATCATCTTTTTCGTTTATTTATTTATTTTTTGATGGGTAAAGTTCAAGTGCTTCGAGTAAAATTGCGCTCCAAACACCAATTTGACAGAACTAGAATGTAACATATACAAATCTTTGTTTTTAGATGTTGAGATAACTATAATATATTCACGTCATCATGAGTTTTTTTAAGTCCTTTCTTCTCCATTTATTGTATGCAGACATTAAATGGATCATATAGCCTTCATTTATATTTTTTTGGTTGCTGCTCCCACTTTTTTCAATTTTACTGACTGGATGGGTCTGAGTTCAGCACCCAGTAAAAAAATGTAGAAATTGCATGTATGTTTTTGCCTCAATAACTGCTTACCACTCCAACCTCCAAATGTAGCTCTGATTCTTGATGCATTTGGATGTAGGAAGGTTCTACTTTAGGAATCAGTCATCAGATTATCTATTATTGAGTGAAGATCAAAATCTTTAGAAGTTTGTTACTCTGTCTAATTTGTTATTTTCCCTATTATTTCATATGTTACTTCTTTTACTATTTATTGTTTGCTCTTGTGAACACTAGATTAATAACACATACATGTGTGTATATCTTTTTTTCAAATAAAAATTCCTTAGTTGTAGTTATATTTTCTGTTCAACGTTGCCCTGTCTCAGAATGTGTGAAATACTTCGACAGCACCGTTTCACTTTAGCAGCCAAGCTACTCAGCACCTTCTGTTTGTTAAATTATTAGGATATGGGGTGGCAAAAGGCGGTAGGAATGTAGTATGACAGCTTAAGTAATTTCATGGAAAGTGAGAACACACGCTGATTTGTTGTTAATTGTTTATATCTAGAACATAGAATTTAGTGAAACTTATGCTTGCAGTAACATTCCAATATAGGATTTCTGAGTTTGATATTGAATTACATCTTTTTGTTACTAGGCTAGCTTTCAGGATTGCTCTGTTAAGATAAAAAAAAGTAAGTTTGAATCCCAGGAGTTTAAAAATTATTGCCTTGTATACTTTTTCAGCTTTGCATTTTGATCTGTCACTTCTTGGCCCAATTGTGATAGCCACACATCGAGGGGGTCCCCTACCCAAAGGTCTCTAGTAAGAGACTTTGCCAACCAAGTCAGCTGTATTCTTTTTCTGATCTTTTACATGATGAAATTATTCCTCTAAATTGCTTGAAAGTTGATTTACATTTTCATTGGAATACTGTTCATGTTTTTTAATCGGGCAGTGACGTTCTACATGGGGAATGAGAGGGTATATATAATACACTCATTGCTAGGCATTGTTCCCTTTGCACTCACTGTCTACAAAATGTGAACTTGCAGGACCATTTGGCCGTGGCCAGATGCAGAAGCCCTTTTTGAAGATGCTACATATCCTTTAAAAGTTGGCAAAATCAGTGACATCGTGACACCGACGGCGGCGTTCACATAATCATTAGAACCGGCTGATTTTGTGAAGAAGTACAGAAGGGTACACTGAAGCATTATTTCAGACTATGCTGAACAGACAGAATCAAATGTTTAAATATACTGTTTTTTTCTATTGCATTTTATGTTCCACACCCAGTATCTTTCATCAAAATGCATATGATTGTGATATACTCTTCGGATTGGTTTACGGATCATTGAGCTACTTTGCATGAGTCTGTCAATGCTTCGACCGCTAAGGCCCAGGAGAAAGACCTGAACTTTTTGGTCTAAGATTGACTAAACCATGTTTGGAGTATTATGAAAAGAAGTATCCATATGTCGTATCTTCTATTTTGTTGGGTTTATTTTATTACATGGTACCTTGTTAAATATCATTGATCTTCAACACATGAAATGAATCAATTTTGTGCCTTGTTACCAATTTCAAAGGCAACAGAGTAAAATGTAAAACAACGTTAAATAGTAGCCTCTCTCAATCAAATGTGCTTAGAATAAATTTTAATTTTTTAAGATTTCACAAGACGCTCAAAATTAACATAGGTTTTATTTGACATAGATTATTTGGGCTAACATAGTCAAAGAAAAACAAAATAGATTAAAAAGTCAATAAAATAAAATATTACATTCAAATCATAATTATTTATTTTTTTATCACAAAAGTCAAAAAATTCAAAAGTCCATTTCAAATGAGACTTTTAATCCTAAATTAAAATAGTCAAAAAAAAAAAACTATAATTATGTGAAATTCATTCCTAAATAGTGTTAGAATATTGTTCCAAAGTACAATAATTTTTCATATGAAAAATGGTATTAAAATATCTATAGATACATTATATATTGAAATTGGGTAAAAAAAAATTTAAAAAATAACATGCCGAAAGAAAAATTCAAAGCCTGCCAGAAAAAGTAGTATTCTTTTGTTGACCAAATAACATAGCCGAAAGTTGATTTAGCTAATCATTGATATCTCTTTCCTCTTTATTTTTTTAGGAAAATGTTTGAGTACCATAATTTTTGTGGTCATAATGACTCAAAATTGTTAAAACGATGTCGTTTTAGCATGTTTTGCACCCAAAACGACGTCGTTTTGATAGTTTTGAGTCATTGTGGCTACAAAAATTGTGACCCTCTAGCATTGTAGATTTTTTTAATCAGTTCCGTTACCGGGCCCGAAAAACAGAGGCTCGATTGTCCTGAATATTTTTTTTTTTTTTTTTCACTCAAAACTCAAAAAACAAATAAACTCCAAAAAAAAAAATCAGAAATCAAACCCACACAGCAACACAACAACACCAGCTCAAAAATCAAAACTCAAAAATTCTCACAAATCACCAAATCTACACAAATCAAAAAAATCAAAATCAAAATAAAATAAAAAAATGAGAGAAAGAGAGAAGAACAGAGAAAGAAGGAGAGGAGGAAGAAGGAAGAGCTCTCCACACACAGATCTCTCTCGCTATCACGTCATCACGCCGTTGCCGCCGTTGCTCTCCGTCGCCCATCGTCGTTGCTCTCCATCGGCATCACACCCGTCGCCGCTGTTTCTCTCTCTCGCCTCTGTGTTCAAAATGAAAAAAAAAAAAAAACCAAAACGACGTCATTTTGAATTTCGAGCTATTGATTTCGGGCCCTCAAACAATTTTCGTTTTTTCTCTTTTTCATTTTTTGTAGACCAGTGATTAAACCAACCACCAATCACATTCCTTGGGTGAGAAAGTTTCATCACAGCCAGTGACCTAATCACATACCCCAAATCTCTTGAACTTCATAAGGACCAAAACCTAGTCGAACCACTTTGGCTATTCATAGTCCACCACCCTCTCTCTCTCTCTCTCTCTCTCTCTTCTCCAAAGTTTCACATCCATGGCCGCCTCCACCACCGCCACCAATCTCTCTCCTCTCTCCTCCCCCTCCCTCGACAAACCCTACTCTCTCTCCAAAAACCCATCTCCCAATCCCCTCTCTCTCTTCCCCAAAATACTCCTAAAAACCCCCTCCGCCTCCTACTCACAAACCCACAAAACCCTCTTCACAACAGCCTCCAAAAACCCAATCTCCGACGTTATCTCCACAAACAAACCAAACCCAGATGCCCATTCATTGATTTTCGATGACAACGACGACAAGCCTCGCGAAGAGTGCGGAGTTGTGGGAATCTACGGCGACCCAGAATCGTCTCGTCTCTGCTACCTCGCTCTCCACGCTCTCCAACACCGCGGCCAAGAAGGCGCTGGAATCGTTGCCGTCCACGACAACGTCCTCCAATCGATCACCGGAGTGGGCCTCGTCTCCGACGTCTTCAACGAATCGAAGCTCGATCAGCTTCCCGGCGACATCGCAATTGGCCATGTTCGCTACTCCACTGCTGGGTCTTCAATGCTCAAAAACGTTCAACCTTTCGTCGCTGGTTATCGATTTGGGTCTGTTGGTGTTGCCCACAATGGGAATTTGGTGAATTACCAATTTCTTCGTGCTATGCTTGAAGATAATGGGTCAATTTTCAATACTAGTTCTGATACAGAGGTGGTTCTTCACTTAATCGCGATATCCAAAATGAGACCCTTCTTTTTGAGGATTGTTGAGGCTTGTGAGAAGCTTGAAGGGGCTTATTCGATGGTGTTTTTGACTGAAGATAAATTGGTTGCAGTTCGAGATCCGTATGGGTTTCGACCATTGGTGATGGGTAGGAGGAGCAATGGTGCTGTTGTGTTTGCTTCTGAGACTTGTGCTTTGGATCTAATTGAGGCTACATATGAGAGAGAGGTCTATCCAGGTGAAGTACTTGTGGTGGACAAAGATGGTGTCCAATCACTCTGTTTAATGCCTCACCCTGAACCCAAAGCTTGCATATTTGAACACATATACTTTGCTTTACCCAATTCAGTGGTTTTTGGGAGGTCTGTGTATGAGTCTCGCCGCACATTTGGCAAAATTCTCGCCATGGAGGCACCGGTTGATTGTGATGTTGTGATAGCTGTGCCTGATTCAGGGGTTGTAGCTGCTTTAGGTTATGCTGCCCAAGCAGGGGTCCCATTTCAGCAGGGCTTGATTAGGTCTCACTATGTGGGTAGGACTTTCATTGAGCCATCACAGAAGATTAGGGACTTTGGAGTGAAGCTCAAGCTCTCACCAGTTCGAGCAGTGTTGGAAGGCAAAAGGGTTGTGGTTGTTGATGACTCAATTGTGAGAGGAACCACCTCTTCGAAAATTGTTAGGTTGATCAAAGAAGCAGGGGCTAAGGAGGTTCACATGAGGATTGCTAGCCCACCAATTATTGCTTCTTGTTATTATGGTGTCGACACGCCTAGTTCTGAGGAGTTGATTTCAAATAGGATGAGTGTGGAGGAAATTAGGGAGTTTATTGGGTCGGATTCCCTCGCATTTCTGCCAATCGACAGCTTGAGGAAGTTGTTGGGAAGTGATTCTCCTAACCACTGTTATGCTTGCTTTTCTGGGAAGTACCCAGTTGAGCCGAAGGGGAAAGTGAAACGGGTTGGTGATTTTGTGGACGATGGGTTGAATGGAAGTATAGAAGCGATCGATGGGGGTTGGATTCAAGGAACTAGAAATCAGCCAGAGGGAGAGAGAGATTCAGAACAGAAACTGGAGGAGGAGAAAGTTTCACTATAGTGGTGACATTTATGCTGAATTCATTACTTAGAGTGCTTCTAGTTTACTACTCTATTAGGTGCTTTTTTGCTATGGACACAGCAATATTTAGGGCTATTATCATAAATGTGAGGCGGTGAGTGACATTTCCTTTCAATGATCTCGAAGCTAAAAGCTTATAATATTACAATTTTGGTCATGTTTTATTCGTTTTGCTTAATGAATTCTGACATTAACTTGAGCTAATTTCTCATGATTATAAATAACGGTTTGTTAACTTAGCATATTTGCACATTTCACTATTTTTTTTAGAAGGCATTTGGTTGTGTTGAGATTATGCTATTTTCTGGACACCAGAGATTTGCTAATGTGACTTGTTATTTACATTGTATTGGCAAGTAATTCTAGTCCCTTTGGGATGTCGATTTTGGCCTTTGGTTCATTCTTGTAACCTCTTGATTTTAAGAGTTTTGTGCACAACCCTCTCAGATCTTATCTAATTAATGATGAGATTTTGCATAGGTTTATGATGAGATTTTCACATTGTGTTAGTAAAAAATATAGATATGTAGCATTACTGAAAAATACAGGATTGAGATTTGGTGTATAACTCTATCTTTGATCTTGCTTTTTGGAATTAAGCATTGTACTTGATTTTGAGGATAACTACATAGGTTGGTTGATAGTTTTGTTATGCATTAGTCAATTATTTTGATTTTTGAGAATCCCATTCCCCTAAATAGAACATTTGAACAATGGTTTCACATAATTATCTGTTTCCTTAGTTCTGTTTATCAACGCATTTGGTTCTACTTAAAACTGGATTGGTTTGAAACAAGTAAGTCCACAATTTTAAATGGGACTAATACATTTTTTTTGGATGCAAGGCCCACAATTTTGAACCAATTAGATTATGCTTTTTGTTTATACTCTCAAAAGTGTGAAAAAAAATTCATTTTCGCAATGCATGGTATTGATGAACACTTTTGTTCACACATTCACTTCGTTAGATGAGTGAACAAATTTGTTTCTGCCCTAGGCCAAAGATGTTAGCCTTGCTTGGTCCTGGGAAGGATTGCTCTTAATGCTTACCCAACTTGAAAGACAGGTTAAGAAGTGTCAAAATTGCACATCAGCCTTATTTAAAAATGCACCAAAGTGACAGGCCTGCACTGCACTCATGAGTATTTATTCCATAAATTTGCTTCACTCTATTATTTGCTTTCATTTTCTATGAATAGCATCTTTATGATCAAAATAATACTGGGTTTCAAAATTTGGAGTGCATCAACAAAACATCATCAATTCAAATTATAATTTGCATTACAATACGGGCATTATCGGGCAGCATGTCCCAAACCTGTTCCAGTATTCCAGTATCAGAATCCACGTAAATATTACTGTATAGAGTGAGCTGAGAGCACCACCACCTTTTCCGGTTCCAAATCACCCATTTTCTGCTCTGTCATAAGCATTTGATTTATGCTTTGGTGTAAAATGTAAAGCCATCAGGAACCTTGCCAAGTAACATCTCAGAGATCCTAATCTGCATAATATAACAAAGCAAGTGAAGATTAATAATCAAGTCCTGTGCCAGTGTTAATCAGTTAAAACATAACCAAATTGCATACCCAGTCAGCCGCAGAATCAGATGCCATTAGCGTCTCAAGGTCATCACGACCAAAGTACGACGGAGGACGCCAGTTCAGTCGTTGTGGGATAACATCCAAAAGACCAACAGGGATATATCTGCATGTGTAACTAAGCCATTCCAGCAAGAAGTGCCTAATTGTCTCCACTCCTGCAGTCACAACGCAGATATCATGCCATCCATATAAATATGTAACTATCCAATTCACAGTAGACACGAATAGTAAATATAGGTTAAGGCTCTGTGCTACTCTCAAGTCATCAAACAACTTGCATAAATATTGTGGCGAGAAACTTTTGTTTTCCCCCCTCATCGGTATGCTATGTAGTTGTATTGTTCATTCTGATGGGCCTATCAGGTTAACCAAGACCCTCCCTTAAAATAATGTGAAAATAAACAAGATAGAAGTATCCTTCACTATCGTTAACAGTGGCAGGTGGAAATAAATAAGATAAAAAAATCCATAACTGTATCATGCGCCTAATCATACAATAGATTAAATCCCATCAAGCTTAAACAGGCTGCCCTACTCAATAACGATAGGCAAGAATAAGTTTACTACAAATGGATGGTTGCCAATAGATAATACTAACAATATTACTATTGTTAAATGTTAATATAGGTCAGAGTCATTTGCTAGCATTATACAACAATAAATGGAAATGATCATAAAGTCAATTATATGACCATATCAAATGTATATTACATACCATATCAAAGGAAATAAGTAAAGAAATTGTATATTAAATACCTTTAGCATCAGAACCCCAATGATCTAGTCCAAAGCGAACGTACTCCTTCAAAATATTTAAACGTTCCCCAGAACTTATGTCCCAGTGCCTCTGCTCCTTGATTTCAGTAAATATCCAAGGCTGCAAAGAACAGCATATAATATTCATGTTTTACAAAAGCCAGAGAATTCAAACAGTAGTGTTTAAAAATACACAAACATATTATGTGGATATAAATTGCAGCATAATAAAACAAATCAAAGCAAGACAAAGATCCAAATGCGAACCTTAATTAATGCTCCACGAGCAATCATGCATGTAGAAAGGTCAGGGCAATCAGACTTGTGTCTGTTCCAGTCTAAATATGTAAAGACATCACCATTCCCCAGGACTTGCAAAGCATCGGGAGCCTTTCTTGCACACTGGTAAATGTATTCCCAATCAGCAAGCTTGCTATAGCGTTGCTGACGTGATCGCCCATGTATCGTTACCGCATTGGCTCCCCATTTTCCAATATCTTCAATTAACAAATCAATGCGGTTTTTTCCCTCCAAATAACCTGTTCGTACCTAGAGTAACAACAAACAACGGAATGCATATCAGTCTCAGACAAGCTCAATCACAATCAAGAAAAGAACAAATGAAGTTTCATCCATCTTGCTCTAGTTCTATGGGCTACATCCTTCTCAACCTCTTTCTTTATGCATAATGAATCCAAATATTGGAATGGTCATTCTTAGGTATCTAAGAGCCAACAAGTTTTACTCTATTTCCATTTCTATTTCTAGTTTTGCTAAAATTACACTACAGATTTTGTCTGAAGCCTTACGTAACCTAGAACATTTAGATTCTATATTCTCTCTCCACAATTTCTAGCTTAAATTTCACTCCTATAGTCCCATTAACTAAAACAATAAAACTATATCATCTGAAAACAACATAAGCCGATGGATCTTCACTTGAGACTTTTCTTTTTAAAAAGTTTACCATTTTATTTGGCATTAAACAGAAGTTAAAATTATATGAAATGTTACTCAGTACCTTGACAGTAATAGGTCTATCAATTGTACCAGAAGCTGCTTGTAGAATGCTTTTCATACGCGTTGGTTTTGTAAGAAGAGCTGATCCAGCACCTTTGTTAACAACAATATCAATTGGGCACCCCATATTGATATCGATGAAGTCCACTGTACATTCCTGATCTATAAGTTCAACAATCCGTGCAACTGTGTCAGGATATGCCCCACATATCTGAACCCCAAACAATTCTTCAGATGAATGACGTCTCAGCAGCGCCCATTCTGAAGCTTGACCCTGTTCACATATCAAACTACAGCAATTTATGACATGATGAATACACAAAATGTTGCAGAGTAAATGGAAATGAAGGATTTAGAGAAAAAAAAGTAGACTAGAAATACATGGGATGTATACAGAAAGTAGCCCAAAAATAAGCCATAAATTATATATAGGCAAAAATAGTACATGCAGACAAACATGCACGCCCTTGAGTGTGTGCATCCAAAAAGAAATGTGAACCTAGAAAATTCTTATATTTCAAGCTAAATAATTTATCTAGAAACAATAGCATAAAATGAACACCAACCAATTTGTGAAGGAGATGGGGGGCAAACAAAAAATGAAAATAACTTGTTCACTTCATAGTACATCAAATATTATGAACACCAGGAAAACTAAATTTAAAACATCAAGATCAAAAGTTTGGCAACAAATGTGAAAAGATAGGCCTTGTATTCAATCAGAAATTTGGTTGGCAAAACAGTTTATCAACCTGCAAGAGATTTGTGCACATCGCCATCTCCCCACATGTAACATCTGCTCCTAACACCTTGCAAACCCTTCGGAAAGGAAGATTCCCAACTGTGGTCAGGGGTGCAAGATAGAGCTTTTCGCTGAAATCAATAAGTTTCTTCTCACGTGGATGTAATTTTAGGCTTTTATCGGTTTCTATGGAAATATAGTTGGTAGTAGTTCCTGATTCCATATGAGAACTGCTTTTCTCAAGATCTTTCTCCAGGACACTGACACCTGTTCAATATCACGCGGGTAAGTTGCATATATCTTAGATGAACAATATTAAATGCACACAATAACACATTCCATTGAAATTAAACAAACCATTATTTATTTCATTAGGACAATCAATTTCATCAACTGAAGATTTCACTTTCTTCAGTGGTCTAAGTTCATCAGAAGCAAATGGGTGATCGTCAGAAGCATCTTCCTCTGCCAGTTGCTGATCCATTTGATTATTTGAGTCACCGGCCACTTCAAGACAACCATTCTCGCCAGTAGCAGGAGATCCATTTGAAGTAGTTTGATTATCATCCTCCTTGTCTGACAACTTTTTGTTTTTTGAATTCATATGCCCCTGAAATTAGATATTTAGAATACTAAACGATTAGAGAACTGAAATGGAACCTGTAGAGAGTGAACACTTAGAATCCTTGCCAAAATGAAAGCCAATAGAATTCAATTTAATTATTAAAGCACCAGAAGAATATAAACATCACAAAAACTACCAAGGACCTGCAAAAGAGACTTTGAAAAATTAAAAAAAAAAACAGAATCTGCAAACGGCCAGAAGCCAGAGTACACAAAATAATCTAAACATTGTCCTCACAGTCTCTCATATCATACGAGCATTCAGTTTCTAAAATCTTTCTGCTCTTCTGGTTTGGGTATTGATTCCAACACAAACTTAGATTGTCTACAACTTGACAATAGGCATTGTATGATGTATCCTGAAGATAAGATTTCCATAATCGAGCAATCACTGCCTTAAAGATAATATCCTGGAAATTCCTTGCCTAATGACTTAATGTATCTTCTTTCTCCATCCTCTGTTTGTGTGTAACAAGTTTAAATTAGAAAAAATTGCTAAGCGAAATTGTAGAGATTTATTCATGAAGTGTATACATGTTTAATACAAATTGGTCCAATTCATCGCATTCAACATGATCTGAAATAAGTCCTTTATGTTCCATGTATCCATTATCCATTAAAAAAGTTTATTTGTTAGACACAGCCATCTATATTTCAAAGAACTCTTCCTTTTTTTTCCCCTTTTTGATAAGTATCTTTCAAAGAACTCACTCACATAAAAATTATTTTGGTCATTATTTAATGTGGTGAACTCAAATAACACTAATCAAAATTTCTTGAAATGGCAAGAGATAAAATATGGCACCTTCAAAAACACTCTAGACCCCTACTCTAGACCCCTAACACAATACAGAAACAAAAGAGAAAGGAGAAAAATAATAAAACAAGGAGAAATGTATACAGACTGCTCATACCAGAAGTTTCAGTTGAGCATCTGCCTTGGGAAACTTCATTTTATTTTTCCACAGAAGCTTCTGGACATCTTTGCTCAATCCATTCATTTCAGAGTTTTTTTTCCGACCATCCAATGCTTCACCAGAAAAACCATCTTTATGTGTACCTGAAAATCTACAAGCCAAACCATAAGGGCACGGCCCTTCAGCACTCAAGAAAGGGCACTCTCCCTCTAGATCATCTGGTTTCTGCATTTAAGAACATCAAGTACATCATGAGAGTTCAATGACATAATACACGCAAAATAATTATTTAGAAAATATAAACTGGAAGGTCGGAAATCATTATTTCCCTACCTCAGCCTTAAAGGCTTCCACATCATGGCTAAAGTGGCATTTATCATTGTAACGACATGAACTAACATCTCCACTTCTTGCTACGACAGGACAGAGATGTAGCGCAGATTTCTTTTCCTGCAAGAGTTCATAGTATCTCATGTGATTACACAATAATTGAAATTGGGTTTCTGAAAGCAATATGCATGTTTAAGAAACATAATTATGACTTCCAATCTGGTTTTCACAATAGACAATAAACCCACTAGAACCACCCCCATACTGGCATCATAAACATATGATATGGTATTATATACAACCAAATTTACCTACAAAACCAGCATATTACCAAATTACAAAATGAAATTGTTTGTCAATAAGCAATATAAACAAGGAAGATAATGAACAAACAGCAACAATACAGCTCTACATATAATGTTCCTAAGTAGCCAATGTTAGTTCAAAATAGGAAACTGCTATAAAAACGAACAAATCTTATAAACATTTTTTACTAACTGATGTGTCATGTAATAATGAAATTTTGGAAACTGAAACAAAACACACTTCAATGGTGTGATAAGTATCACATCACTAAGAAAGTTTGTAAGATTTGTAAATTTGTATAACTTCTAAAAATAATCCACCTAGGTAGTGTTTGGTTCGTTGAAATGAAATCATTACTTAGCCTCCCTATAGAATGACAAGCCTATAGGGAATCTCCAACCCTTAGGCAAATCTTGACTCAAACTTAAATTTGAATAAAAAGCCACTAAAATACCCTCCACTCCTTTACTCAAACCCGTACCAAATCAAGTTCTACTCAAATTTTGACTCAAATCAAGGAAACTCATTTCCTTCACTCAGATTTTTATCAAATCAAAACTTAACACAGGTGCTTTTATCCAAAATTTCCAAATTTCCCTTTACTCCAACACCTAGCATCTAGTCAAAACTTGACACTGGATAAAATTTTACTCAAATCTGAGTTTATCCATTGGAATGCTTCATATCAAATCAAGCTTTTTACTCAAACTACAACTCAATTCGAGTAAAAGTATAAATAAGGACTATATTTATTTTTTTAAGTTAATCAAACAGTGAGATGAAGAATATGAAATGATCATTCTATTCAACATTCATTCCATTGAACCACCACACACTACCTTGAAATTTTAACAAAATTTAAACAGCAACTGATTCTTATATGGCTTAAAACTGTAAAGAACTAAACTTGACCTTCCATAGCCTCCCAATCCATTTCAACTATACATTCATCAAACACTCACACACACACACACACAGATGTGAATGTTTGAGATATAGAGATAACCTGTTGGCGCTCTCTCTTGAGTTGCCTTTTAGACTTCTTCTCCTTCAAAAAGCTTGAAGAAAGAGCAGACTTCTTAGTCTTAGAATCAACATCATCGGCATCATCACTGCAAGTTCTAGTAGGCGGAGGACAAAGAAACTCCCTCTTCACCGGAGCTATGGATTTCGCCACCAGTTCTTCCGGTGTTAGCTCCGCCACTCCTCCTCCCCCTCCTCCGCCGCCGCCGCCGTCTTAGTATTGTTAAAACTGAGTATTGTGCTAGCTTTTATCCGGCGGCGAGCTCCGCCGATGCTCCGTCCATGTCGGCCAGGTTAGGTCTCCAGTGATGTTCGGTTGGAGTATGGGTTTCTGTAGGGTTTGTTTTTTTTTTTTAAAACCGGATTTGTTCGTTTGTTTGTTTGTTTGGTAGAAGTAGAAGGCTATGTTTGGTAACTTACTGGAGAAAAGAAAAGAAATGATTACTTAACTAATAAGAGAAAAGAAAAGAAAAGAAATGATTATAATTTTTCTCATTTTTATTTGGATAAGTGAGAAATAAAAGAAAAGAAATGATTTTGATTTCTCTCCTTCTTGTTTGGTTAGATTTCATTAAGAGAAAAGAAAAGAAATTATTTTATGTTATATTACCAAAATAACCTTTTTATATTTTCAATCATTTTATTTCTTTTATTTTTATAGGGATAAAATTGGTATTATGAAAATATAAACATTTGTGGATTTCTTTTCTCTCTCAATCTCTCCACTTTTGAGAAGATTGAAAATAAGGGTTAGGAGAGAAATGAGTTTCTCCCCATTTCTCTCTATATCTCCCCATTTCTCTCCACTTAAGATAACCAAACAAGGAAGAGAAATACATTTCTCCCTATTTCTTTTATTTTCTCTCCAAATCACTCAATCCAAACACAGTGTAAAGCAGAATAATCGCCGATTCGACGTCGTATCTAACAGTAAAAAATGCGGGGTTGAAGAAGTGGGCTTGGTTGGACCTAATTCCTGGATGAATTTTATAGAATGGGCTTCATGCAAAAGCTCAACACATAACCCAACTATTTCCTTTCATCACCTCTGAATTTAAAATGAGACTAAGGATAAGTTTGGCATATTGTAAAAAAATTAAAAAGTTAAAAAATTATTTAAAAAGTCAAAAAGTTAATATTATTTATCAAAAATTAACAATTACGGCTGCACAACTCTCAATCTTAATTTTCCTTTACAAATCACAAATCAATTTTTACAATTTTTTATTACACAATTTTCCATAAAAAGTCAAAAAGTTAACCCAAATATCCATATTTTCTTCCTCAAATTTTTAATCCAAAAAGATAAAAAATGCACTTATTTAGGATACCCCAAACAACACCTAAATTACACTCTACCCTTTTATGTTGAGTTATTTTTTTTAACAGTAGTGCTACAGACCCCAGTGGGGTGACCCCCAGCACCTCCAATACACGTGGCGGGCAGTGAGAGGAAGACCAAAAAAAAAAATCAACCAATTAAAAATCAATGGAGGTGGTGGGAGTCTAAGTCATTTTTCTTTTTTTAATTCTTTCTCAAATTTTTGGTCCAAAAAGATAAAAAGTGCACTTATTTAGGATACCCCAAACAACACCTAAATTACACTCTACCCTTTTATGTTGAGTTATTTTTTTTAATAGTAGTGCTCCAGACCCAGTGGGGTAACCCCCAGCACCTCCAATACACGTGGCGGGCAGTGAGAGGAAGACCAAAAAAAAAAATCAACCAATTAAAAATCAATGGAGGTGGTGGGAGTCTAAGTCATTTTTCTTTTTTTAATTTGGCTTACAAAAATTTTATCCCCCACTTTGGCGTATAAAATTATTTAAAAGATAAAAAATACTACGTTAATTGTCCCATGATATAAAAAATATATTCTCTCTGTTTTAAAATATAGTTTCCTTTAAAGAATCTAACTTTTTTTTATAGTACAATTATTACATTTTCAAAATATTAATTTTTCAAAATTATCCATTGATAGTATATTTTTTTAAAAATATCAATTGTCATAATTGTTTTTTTTTTTTTTTGTTAATGAATTTAGGATTAATTACCTAAAAGTTCTATCTATATATTTGGTAGTAGCTTAGGTCTTGGCAAAAAGTTTTTGAACTAATAAGTCTCATTTATAGGTAAAAAGACGTTTTTGCCCTTTAACCCAAACAAGTGTATAAATAATAGTATTATTAACGTTATTTACTAGAAAGAAAAAACAAATCAGTTATGGAAGTAGATGAAAATTCAAATCGCGAAGGATCTTGAGAGATTTCTCGATTTGGTTCGCTATTATACATAAACTGATTTTTCGGTTTTGATAGATTCGTAATTGTGGCTTTTTGAGTTGAAATCTGTTGGAGTGTGTTATGTGCAATTTCAAGTTATAAATTAAAGAATTGATCTACTGGTTTATAGGTATGTATTGTTTTGATTTTGTATATTATGTGTTTTTAGAATTTTTTCTAGTTTTGATTGAATTTATTTATGAGAATATGTTGAATAATTTCGATATTTACAAATTGAAGACGTGATTAGCTGAATGATTTCTTGGTTTGGTTTGGTATTTTATGAATTGAAAACGTGATGTGTGAAAACTGAGAAAGTTCTTAGTATTGTTATGAAGAATTTGTTTTGGTTTTGCAGTTTCAATAAACTGAGTGTTGTGCTAGCTTTTATTGATGCGATCTTTTTTTTGTTTAGATTGAAAGATGACTGAAGGTTTTACAAGTGTCCCGATTTTTTTGTCGTACAAGTGTAATAGTTGCACATTTGCAATTAAGATTGATCGGAATGTTCATATGATCATACATTTGCAATTAAGATTGATCGGAATGTTACATATGATCAGCTGGTTCATAAGCTATGTTTGAAATGGAATAGTTTGCAATCTGATAACATTTGTCTATCTTACTCATTGCCTGGACATCCTAGTTATACGTTGGACAACAATGAGGAGTTAGAATTGTTGTTGGCATTAGTTGTTCATTTTGATTCAAAATGTATTGATGTTGTTGTGAGAGGAAAAAACTCAACCAGTGACTGTGGTAATCTTAACAAAAGATTGGATTATGGAGAAAGAGAGTCAATGATGGAGCTTGAAGTTTGTGATATTGCATTGTCTCGTGACAATAATAAGTCTGTGAACTTGTCAAACAGAGCACCTACATCATCCAACAAGAATTCGAGGTTGGAGGTTGAAGAAGAGATGGATATGTTATCATCCTTTGTCGACACAAGGAAAAAGTATTGTTGTCTGCTGGTTGGGCAGTTAGTATTACACATGTAGGACAGAAATTTAAAGATGGAATTGTTGAATTTCGTAATGCATTGTCGAAGTTTTCTATTGAGTGTGGATTTGAGTTCATATTTGTTAAGAATGATAAAGTTCATGTTACCGCACAATGTTTGTGTAATAACCCTCACCATTGTTTACCGCATAACCACTGATTACCGTTAAACTGAACTGATTATGACTGATAAACGAACTGAATGAAATACTGAACTGACTGACTGAAATCTAGAACTGAATTGACTGAGTATATCTGTTTACTTGTGCATTTATCTGTTTAATTGTTTGATTATCTGTTCACCTTTTTATGCTTTTAACTGTTAATTGAAGGCCCTATCAGCGGCCGAATCCGGGAATTGATTGAGGTTTCTCGACCCTCATAAATAATGTGATTTTATGGTGTATTTACCTGAAATTTGATTTAGTATGATTAAATTAGATTAAATATTGGGTTCATCTGGAATTTCCAGATTTTGCACTCCCGCTCGAGCGGGGGAAGGTGACGCTCGAGCGTGGAATCCAAGCATCCAGTATCTCTATGCACTTAGTGGCCATTATCTATGCACTTTTGAGCCTTATACATTGAATTAAAACACTTTTGCTCAGCTCATTTTGAGTATACCACCGACTTGAGAGAGGGAGTGAGAGTGTTTTCATCTCTTTTGCTTGATCTTGCTTGGATTGAGAGGATTGAAGTATAGATTTCATATTTGAGCTCCTAAACCTTGAATACAAGACTAAGGTAGGAAACTCATCTCCTTATTGTTGTCATTGAGCTAGTTCTTGCATGATTCATACTTCATAGTAGAACTAAGTCATGTTTTGGTTCATTGTTGTTAAAATGAAGCTCATTCCTTGCATGCATGTTAGTATTGTTGGATTTGGAGTTGAGTTCTTGGCAAATCGTCACATGCATGTCCATGTTTTGAGTGTAGGCCATGTTTTCATCATGTTTGTGAATCAATTGGCTCATTAGAGCATGTTTTGAAGCTTGAAAGTTATTTGAAGATCATGCATGTCATGTTTGAGGATTGTTCTTGTGAAATTGGTTTGAAATTGGGTTTGATTAAACACCCTTGGGCTTTGACTTCTCAAATTGAGTTTTGAGTCATGTTTAACTATGAGTTTATAAGAGTTTTCCAGAAAATGGGCCCAAGAGGATCGGTTTTGATGCATTTGAGCTTGAGTTTGAGCTTGGAGGTGCAATCTGGAATTTCCAGATTTTGCACTCCCGCTCGAGCGGGGGAAGGTGACGCTCGAGCGTGGAATCCGAGCATCCAGTATCTCTGCACTGTTTTACAATCTGCTCGAGTGGAGGACTGGGTGCTCGAGCAGAGTCTTGTGTCTTAAGCTCGAGCGGGCGTCGAGCGTCTATCGAGCGGAGATTTCACCCATCAAGTACTTTTGCAGTACGCTCGAGCGGGGGATTTACCGCTCGAGCGGGTACTTTTGGCTGCATGACCGCTCGAGCGGAGTGACCTACGCTCGAGCGTGACCTCTGTTTTCTGAAAAATCTGAAAATGCTTTTAAAAGTACATCTTTGCATCCTCATCCCATTCTAGGCATTCTTAGGCCTAGTTTAAGACATCTTATTGAGGATATAGATGTAGAACACACCAAGGCAAATTAGGGATTAAGTTATTATCTTTCCCAGCTGTGTAGCTTAATGTGTTCAATCTGTTAACTGTGTAGGGTTGGCGACTGGGGAGGCACGCTCTAGCATACTGTAGCCCAAACTCTGTGAGTAACAACTGTGTAAAGATATGTTCGAAATGATTATCTTCTGAACAACTGAACTGTACTGTTTTCTGAACTGATACTGTTAATTGAATGAATGTATGTCCTATGTTCTGAACTGTATTGTGGCATCCTTAGCACCTACTGCTACTGTTACTGTTACAGAGATCTTTGTCGGTTCCCTTGTTGGAACCACTACTGTTTATTGACTGATGGCCATCATTTACTGCTCGGTCTTTTAAGACCTACTGTTTACTGTACTGTTATGCTAATGGATGTACCACATATGACTGTACTGACTGAACGACTGAAATACTGATTTAATGAACTGTTTTCATACTATAAGAACATTCATTCTTAACCTCTTTATGCATTATGTTATTCACTGGGCTTTAGCTCACTGCTCATATATATATGTAGGTGTTCAGGCACCAGACCGGGGCTAGGAGCGTCAGGGTTACTCCAGTTTTGTCAAGCCAACTACCGTGCCTCACTGCGAGGTTCCAAGCCTATCATGCTAAGGATTAGGGGTGTTTTAGGACTCCCCCTTCTGTACTGTCTTGCTGTTTTGTAATAACCAAATGGATTGTATAGACTGAATGTTTACTGCACCGTTACATAGGGATTGGGTCCCTATTCTGAATGATTGTATATATTGTGTATACCTTTCCACTGAATGTATATATGTTTGGAAAGTCCTTTTGCATGCAGACTGTCACAGCTCATTGGGCATTGTTTATTACTGTATTGGCTTTCGCCAGGCCCTGTACTCTGTTTTACTGTACTACTGTTAAGCAGGCCTTTAGTAATCTCGGATTACTGGCCGGTTACGGTGCTAAACCCATAGGGCCGGGTTTGGGTCGTGACAGTTTGTTTAGAGAGACAAAAGGTTGTATGTGAAATGTTCATGGTAGAATGGAGAATGCTAATAGGTTCTTTTATATAAGAGAACTCAACAATGTCCACACATTGGTGCTGAAGTATGTACAATGAATCATTCTCGTATGAGTTCTGATTTAGTTGCTAATTTGATTGTTGAAGGTGTTCGTGATAATCCATTGACACGTTCAGTTCATGTTGTTTGGGATTTTAAGTTGCGGTATGGGCTGAGAGTTAGTTATCATTAAGCTTGGTTGGGGGTAGAGAAAGAAAAATGTGATGTTTTTGGAGACTACTTAATGCTATTTGACCAGTTAAGATGATATGTTGATGTTGCAAAGAGTTGCAATCCAAGGACTTACATTGAATTTGAGTGTGGCGATGATACTAAACAGTTTAAGAGATTATTTGTTGCTTTTCATAGTTCCATTAGTGGATTTGATTATTGTCGACCTCTCTTGTTTCTTGATGGCACATTTTTTAAAGGAAGATTTAGAGGAAATTTACTTGCCGCTACAGGAAAAGATGGAAATCAAGGTACACAGGAAATCTGTTTTCTTTGTTCTGGAATTGAGAAAGTTCTCAATTTAGAAATATGATTGAATGTTTTAAATTTTATATAATATTGTTGCTGTATATGCATTTTTTTTATTTTTACAGTTATTCATTTTAGTGTTTGATATTTTGAATGTTAAAGCATTACCATTTTCTAAAAATAATAAAATATTCTCATTTTTTCTATTTTGTACATACAAGGTTCTTTCATGTTTGTTTTGCAATTGTTGGCTTAGAGAATCAAGACAACTGGCGTTGGTTTTTGAAGCGTTTGAGTACAATTGTTTCACCAGAACCAAATATTACATTCGTGTCAGATCGTAACCTTGGATTAGTTGAAGTTTTGCCAAAGGTTTTCCTAATGGCTTTCCATGCTTATTGTTTATATCATTTGAAGATGAACTTGAGGCATCAATTGCGTGGTATGTTTCATGGATTGAAAAAAAAGCTGATCACTTTGTTTGGAAAATGTGCATATGCTCCAACTAAAGAAACATTTCATCAATGTTTGGTTGAGTTAAAGACTGAAGGTGGGTCAAGAGTTGAAAAGTTTTTAGATGACATATCATATGATCATTGGAGTAATGCATATTTTCGAGGGCAACGCTTTAGAGAGATGTGGTTGGATGTAGCTAAATCTTTGAATTTGTGGATACGGGAGGAATATCATTTGCCTATCACAAAGTTGATTGATAGTGTAAGAATTAAGTTGACGAGGAGAATTGCTAAGAGGAAGGAGCTTGTTAATAAATGGAATAGTGTGATATGCCCCAAAATGGAGTCCAAGTCGCATAATGCTTTTAATACTTCGAGGCCATGGATTGTTAGTTCATCTGGAAATGATGTCTATGAGGCGCATTCACATCCATCTGTCTCAGTTGACATTTGTACACGAATATGTTCTTGTGGCAAGTGGCAGTTGAAAGGGTTTTCATGTGCACATGGAGTTGGTACTATACAAAAGAGTGGACATGATTTGAGTTTATTTGTTGATCAATACTTCTATGTTCAAAATTATCAAGAGTCCTATTCTTTTCCCATATATCCTGTTCCTTCAATTTAGAAACCAAATTGTAATGTTGATGGTGATAGTGATGTTGTTCTTCCTCCTTTGTCTATAAAGTAACCAGGAAGGCCAAATAAGAAGAGGATTCGTTCCAATAGTGAAAAAGTAAGGCAAATTACTTGTGGTAGATGTGGGAAAGTTGGCAATCACAATAAGAAATCGTGTAAGGAGGCTTTGTGATTTTTTGTAACTGTTTTGTGATTGTAAAAATTTCATATTCATAAATTTCTTGAAGTAGCAGTTTGTACTGTTGAGAGCTAAATAATAATCTTCTATGTTTTGAATAAAGTAACATTGAATTGAAAGTGAAAATATTCTTAGTTTCGAATTTTAGTTTTGAAATTGTTTGTGATAATATTGTTTGGTTGGCTTTGTGTTTGTTTTTAATGTGAATTATTTGTTTGGTTGGCTTTTGTAAATAAACTTGACTGTTGAATATTTGTTTTCAAGATTATGTGAATACTGTATAAAAAGTGAACATATTCCCAGTTTAAATTTTTAGTTCAAAATAGTTGATTTTGTGATAATATTGTGAGGCTCTTGTTATGAATAGAACTAGTTATAAATGTGATCAATTGAATGAATGTGAATTAATATTCCAAATAGAAGGAATCAATGCTCTATGTTTTGAATAAAGTAACAATGAATTGAAAGTGAAAATATTATTTCTTTCGAATTTTAGTTTTTCAAATTGTGATAATATTGTGAGGCAGCAAATAAATTGTATTAATAATATTGTTGTTTTGAAAATTGAGGAAACATTGTATAAACTGAAAATATTCTCAGTTTTAATTTTTTTTAATTTCAAAATAAGTGATTGTGAGACAACAAAACACTGCATAAAAGCTAAAAATATAAACAAAAATATCAACAAAGCACTGATTGTGATACAGTAAAGTCTTGTATCCACTATTTTCACATGTAACACTATTTTCACCTTTCCCATATAGTAGTGTGAGGAACAAGATAATAAAAACTGAAAATATGGACAAAAACATCAAGAAAACTCTGGTGCATATATTTTTAAGAGTATGACAAAATATTCCATTACACATCATAGAAATTGTAATATGTTTGTGAGGCTATATGCTTACAACTATCAACAAAAACATTAGTCATTGTATCAGAGTGTAACAAAAAAGATTTCATTGAACGTTGCAATCTTGACTCTACTTGACTCTAATTGATCTTTGTAGATCACTAAGGAACTCATGTACCATATCTGCTTTCAGTCTTGTGGATGTGCCTGGTGGTAATGTGTTTGGAATTGGTTGATGCCTTATGTATTGTCTTATGATGTAGCAAACAATAATTCCATAATCAACCCTACAGAAATCAATTTTGACATAGTTAGGGAAAAAACAAAAAATTTTGAAAAACATATTAAAATTTGTTAGTTACAACAAACATAACATTCGTCATTGCTTCTTGTTGAGGGTTGTCTTTGACTGATTCAATCTTCACATCAGGATTCCATGTTTTTTCTGTTTGACAATGTGTATCCTTTATGTATTCATTAATGATTTTTTGCTGTAAAAAACATCAATATAAAGTATGTAATGATTTATATTTGATTATTGTAATGGTAATCTAAAATTGTTCTTACCAGTTGATATGCAACGTTGCAGTGCTTGTTCTTTCATTTTTTTGGTCTCAAAGAGTTGAAATGTTTTCAAATCCCCAAGTGTTTATCGATAACAAGTAATGTCCAGTGATTGGAATTGTGGATGGGGATATGGATGTATCTACATGTGAGGGATTCTTGCAAAGTATTTTTCAAAATCTTTTTCCTTTTTTCTGAAGTTTTCTTATTCAACATTGGTTGTTTTTTACAAGAAAATATAAGAATATTCACAGTAATGGTATGTCTCAAAGAGTTGAAATGTTTTCAAGTCCCAAAGTGTTTATCGATAACAAGTAATGTCCAGCGATTGGAATTGTGGATGGGGATATGGATGTATCTACATGTGAGGGATTTTTGCAAAGTATTTTTCAAAATCTTTTTCCTTTTTTCTGAAGTTTTCTTATTCAACATTGGTTGTTTTTTACAAGAAAATATAAGAATATTCACAGTAATGGTATGAAACTCAATATTCAAATCTCGATCAAAAATAACAAACCATGATTAAGTACAATTTGTCACTCAAATTGTTTCAAAATCTGAGTATATTCCCAGCAATGATACCAAACTCAAAATTTGAGAACATTCACAGCAATGATAACAAACACAAAAAAATCAACTTTGAAACCAAAATCGAAAGGAAGATAAAGTATAGAATTGACACATGCACATTTATTCCTTACCTAATATAGACTTGACAATACAAAAGACTTGTCATTGTACTCAGCTTCATCACCAGGATTCTGTACTTGTGGTTCTCTTTTAAGAATCTTAGCATATGCATCAATTGTCTGTCAAATTGGAACACAAAAGTGATGTTAATAAATTAATGAGAAGTTTTTCACTGTTAAAATATTGCAAATTTTATACGTACACAGTTGGATATATCGTTCCCTTTTACCAAGCTCTTGATATCATTAATAAAGACATAATTGTCATATCTTGCACCAAACCATATACATGCACTACAAAATAAGAAAAAATGTGTTAATAATTAATTCAAAATATTTTTAGAAAACAGAGCTATTTCTCAGTTTCATTTCATATTGTGTACTACATGAAAAATTGCAAGATTTATATAAGATTATATCTTGATTCTGTTTACTTTTCTGTCCAAAGAATTTGTAATTTATGTTTATCTTCAGGAGGTAGCAATTAAGCCACAGCATACTTGTTAGAAATTGTCTCATATTTGTGTTCCTTCTTTTTTTCAACTTTAACTTTCTTGCCTCCATACTCATAATCTGATATCTCAATAGTCTTTCTTGCTTTAGTTTTGATCTTTTTAATCATGGAATTCTACAGATTTGTTTGTCTTGATTCTGTCAGATCATCGGCTTTTATTGCACAAACTGATTCTGCAACTGAGAATTTTAACAATCTTTTGCATTTGCATTTGTTTCACAATCTTTTGTTGCAAAAGCTTGTTGCGTTATCTCATAGACCTTTTTCTGATGGAGTGCTTTGTCTACCACTTCAGAATTTTCATAGACCTCTTTCTGCATTACTTGAGAATTTTCATCTTTTATAGTATGACCTACATTCTTTGTATCTGTCCCAGAATTCTTTCCTCCACAAACTTCTTGGGTTATCTCATGGACCTCTTTTTCAAACAATTGGTTATGCAATCGAGAATTTTCATCTTTCAATTGTTGTATTTGTGCGGTGAGTAACCTGTTATCCTCTTCAAGTTTATTTATGTAGACGATCTTCACTGTGTTATCAAGTTACAAATTATTGTTCTCAGTTTGAAGTTTCTCAAGTGTCTGTTGATGAATGTGTTCTTCTCCATCAGGTGCATCATTGATCATAATGTTGCATAAGCCATCAAAGTCTTCATTTGTGTCTTATTGATTGACTTCCCATTCATCTCTCATGTAGCTGGCAGTTTCTGTGCTTTTAGAATTTTGTAATTTCTTATTTGTTGGCTTTTGTTCTTGGTGGCGTTCTTCAGCATCTTGACCATCTTCTTCTTCTTCTTCTTCTTTAGTATTTTCAGCATCTTCTTTTTCGTCTTCTTGTTCTTCTTCTTCAGTATTTTCAGCATCATTTTTTTCTTCTTCATCTTCTGCTTCTTCTTCTTCTTCTTCTTTTTCTTCATCTTCTTCTTCAGTGTCATCAAGTTCTTCATCACTTTCCCCACTCAATTAAGCACTAGTTACCTGTAGGTCAACATACAGCAGATATTGTTTTTTGAAATAATTGAAGTTTAGGAAACTAAAAAGTTTCTCAATAATAATTCAGTGTATAAAAATAGGGAATTTTCCTAACTTGCATTGAAATTCAAATGAGATAAGGATGTGACATGTCTTGTTGTCAGCTTATGTAGTGATATGACTTTCGTACATTTATGTAATTTAATAAGATTCCACTTGATCACCCTTGGGCATGCTTCGCTAACTTCAAGATAGATAATCAATGTGTGCTCACACAACCAATACTACAAACAAATGTAAAGAATTTTTGTCATTTGAATAAGAAATAATACTTTCTATTATTAACAATAAACTAATAGGATAGAGTAAAGATGTACTTACTAAGAGAGCCATAACACATCTTGTGACTTTTGCTGGAGTTTTATGGTATTTTTCAATTGAAGACATCAATGTGTTCCTTATTGCTTCTGCCCAATTGTATTTTCTCATTGAGTTCATGTCTTCCATGTAATTAAAAAATACCCATCCAACTATTGTTTTTGATGTAGAGAAAGAAAAAGCTTCAAACAAGTATACATACAGAGCATCCTAATTACACCTTCGGTGTCTTCTTTCTTGTTGCCTTTTAATACTTTTTGCAACAAGTCCATGATGGTTGTGCTCGATAGCCTTTTAGTTTGTATGGATCTTCTTGTCAGAAATGACAATATACTTTTATTTCCATAACCAAGATGCATCGGCTCATCTTCACAAGATATACCGAAGATGGACTTGATGTCTTCTGTTGTTAGCTTTACAGTTTCTAGTCCTAACTGGAAAGAACCACTGTTGTCTGGCTGGTATGTTTGAATTATTTTGAATGCAATATCATCATATTTTCTACATTGTTTATAATTCAACTTGTTCTTCAATATTGTATCAAACAATAACTAGAATAGGGTTTCCTTCAACCCTTTAATATGCTCGTTCCTGAGTTTGATGTGTTGTAATAGCTTCACTATTGTCACCATGTTTGATTCGAAAGTTACTTTCCATTCTCTACGCTTTCCCTTTAGCTTTTTCTCCCTCGAAGGTGATTCTTTATGCTTTCTTATTGTTTTCCTTGCATTGCTCTTCAGTCTTGGCAGTTTCATGAGTTGATTTCCTGTACAGAAAATCAACATAGACAACATATTAACACTAAGAATGTGTCCTAAAAGAATCAATCCAATGTCATTCTC